GAGTTTTAACAAAATAATTAAATATTATTTTTATAAAAAAATTATATTATTAAACCAAATATAAATAAACTTAAATTAAATTATAATAAAAAAATTGTATTAAAAAATTATACAAAAAATGAGATATTTTAAATAGTTAATTTGATATTAATATCAATATATTTTTGTCAAATTTTTATGATATTTTCAAATTTATATTTTATTCAAAAATAAAAACATTATCGTTTTTTCAAAATCACATAAAACTATATTATAACATTGACTGAGATAAAATAAAATAAAACGAAATATTAAAATCAAAATGTATCTCGCTGCATTGCGCGTATACCATTCTAGTAAAAAATAATACATGGAATTATAAAAGAAAACATCTATCACCAAAATTAAAAATACATTGAATAAGTTGAAAAAAAAAAGTTAAACAAGTCTACCAACAATTTGTGGTTTGACTGTTTTTCAAAATGGACCGGATGGCTTAAACAGCCAAAGACGGTCTGATTTGAACGGTCAAATGTTTTTTTCTGAACACCTCTAGACTGAATGAGATTTAATGTAAAATCGACACACAATGACTCTATGCTACTAACCCACCGCTAAAATGAAGTTTTATCATATAAATCACACCTTGGAGCGGTTGATTTGTTGTTGCTTTTCTACTTCATTTTCAGCTTCTTGAACTTCACCAAAATCAATTTAACTGTTGACGTATTTATTGTAAAACGTGCAAGATAAGATTTGAGTTTGGTTTCTTCTTGATAATTGTAAAAGATGACTTTTGGGTGTTAGATTAATTTGATCAAAGCGGTCCAATTAGGTGATTGCATTTCGTACCCGTTTGATCGATATGATGGAATATTTCATCTATCTTAGGTTCAATTTCAGACACTGAATTTATGATATCTTATAGTTATAATTTATAAAGATTACTTACTTATCTTTAATAAAGGTGAAAATTTATATTTTATTAAAAAATGAAAACATTATCGTTTTCTCAAAATCACATAAAACCGATTCGTACTATATCGATAGAGACAAAGAATAAAAACTAAACATTAAAATGAAGATTTATCTCGTTGCATTACATAAATACCCTGTATTTTGTGAGTGTCTTTTGATTCATTGAATGAAAAGACAATTAAAATACGACATAAAATGAGCCTCTGAATCACACGACACGAATCAGGGAAGGTGTCCGTCCATTCCAGTTATATAGAAACCCATCAAAGATAGGGGAACAGCCAATCAGGAAGCTCCGTCTATCCACGTGTCATACTTACAGCATTTGACATTTTTATTATTGAAAAATAAAAGAAAAAGAAAAAGAAAAAGAAATTCACGTATGGATGGGAAAATTAACACCCTTGATTTGGAGCTTGGCATAAGATAGGGGGATTCACCGGAACAAGTTTTGCAGTTGCAGCCACCATTACCAAGTCATGTCTCTAATGACGACGGCCGCCATCTCCACTTCCATGGCGTCTACAGCCGTCACCTTACCTCGTCTACCCGCTCTCCGTTGTACCGCCGTACCTAATCTCCCTTGTCGTCCCTTTCCGACTTCCATAAAACTCGTTTCAGGTAATGTATTCTGTTTGTGTCTCTTTCAGGCATTTCGTCAAACAGTTGGTTAACGGTATTGAATCATTTGATGTTAAGGGTACTTGAATTGTTTTGGGGATCTTAGACCACAAATCGGACTATGCTCCAAGCTAATTACTAGTAAAAAACAACAAACCCTATAAATTGTATAAACTTACGAACCAATTATCATGTGTTGTAAGAATCTTCCTCATTTCATGTTTGAATGCCAGAGTCGCGGAGGTCATCTCTGTTCCGTATTAAGGCCTCAGAAGATGCATCATCTCCCCCTGATGCTAACGAGTTATTCGCCGACTTAAAGGAAAAGGTAAGCATTATACTTGAAAATGGTATCTGATTCACTCTTGGATCAATGGCAACACTTTCGCGTTTTGAATCCCAGAAACATCCCAAGGGGTTATCGTGCCGTGCCATCCTTGAGAATTTTGTTGCAAAATCTTGTTTTCTTTACCATGTTGTTGTTTCTAGTGGGATGCAGTTGAAAACAAGCCAACAGTTATAATCTATGGAGGAGGAGGAGTTGTTGCAATTTGGCTATCTTCAGTTATTATTGGTGCCATCAACAAAGTCCCATTAGTAAGATTTTCTTGTGTTCTTGCATGATTTATGACCATTTTAATCCATGTTTTAGTTACTTTATCCATGTGAGGATATCCCTTGTATTAAAGAGCCCTTCATGAGAGAATGAAGGTTGCAACATAAATGATTCAAGTCTAGTTGATGTGAGACTCCAACAATCCAGAAAAATTGAAACAACTAAACATTCTTGTTCGTTACATGTTCGACTTTTCGACTTCATTTGTCAAAATAAATTGAATTTACGAACCAAAGTCAATAAGCAAACCCTTTAGCTTAAGAGATTGTTATGTTTTCAGGTACCCAATATCATGGAGTTGGTTGGAGTTGGATATACTGGATGGTTTGTCTATAGATATCTTCTATTTAAGGTAAAATTCTGCTGATGAATTGAGTTTTAGCCATCTTATTTATGATTTTGTTGCAAGATAATTGTTATATCTGGAGTTTCAGATACAAACCATGTATAAATGTTACAAACCTTATATTATGAAAGAATCGAAATATTTGTAGAATATGATCAGGGTTCATTCATTATGATTGAGATATTTATGGAAGATGATAGAGTTTATTTATTATGATCATTGCTATAGATAAGGAACAATCTAGATATTTATAAAACCAAATATTCATTAGGTTAGATCGTAGATGGATGGCTAAGATTAGTTTTGAATCGTTTATAACATTTACATGGTTTGTATTTGAAACTCTCTCAAGATTTATCAATCATAGATATACATATTCTTTTTGTAACTTTAAGCAAATTACATAACATATAAAATGAATGAACCATTTTTAGATATTAACATTTTACTTCCTCAAATTGTTCATTTCATTAGAATATTTGGGGTTAAATTTCACATTTTGGGAATTTCAGTCAAGCAGGAAAGAGTTGGCCACAACCATAGAGTCAATCAAGAAGGAGATCACAGAGCCATAGACAAGACAGAGTAGATTCAAATGGATTTTTCTTTTTCTTTTTTTGGCTTGTAATTTGATATAAGAGGCATGTATATAGGTCTTATATGGACTATATATATAAATATGTATCCAACACAAAATAATATGGAAACCTAAGAGTAAATAAACTTAATTTCTACACTTCATTTATTATTGCATCTTTTCAGAAATAGCATAGATTGTGTCTATATACATCTTATTCCTTAGGTTGCGTTGACAACACAAAACGCGTCATTCTACATTTGGTACAACATGGGACTGGGACTGGGACTGGAACGAGAACTAGGTGGGTCAAAACAAGTTTTTCTTTTGTTGCACTAAAAAGTTATTAATCTCCCCTAATTTTGATCAACCATAATATGGTATTTGTTTTAACCCTAATATGATCTTTGTTTTAATGATCACCATTGCCGCCGCCACCATCGGCACCCGAGGGCAACCATTTTGGCCACCACCTCCAACATAACCACTCTCACCGTCCACCACCACTATCCACCATCTTAATGTCCTCCACAGTCAACATCATCTACTGACTACCTTTGCCTCTACCTCCACCACCATTATCTTATAATAACCTCCGAAATGCCTCTAATAATTAATAAAGATCTTCTAAACTGAATAAAACATAGTTTATAATTTTGTATGAACCATGTTTTTTTTTTTCCAAACTACTATTAATTATATCAAATTTTTCATTCAAATTTACTACATTTATTCATGTATGTATTTATGTATATGAAAATTATGTTAAAAAGGTCGTATTACTTAATTTGGTCACTTATAACTATTATATAATATATAAACTCCTCAAACAACTTTAATAAACATCAGACAAACAACCTGTCATGTTCAGTTCAATCATGTTTACATACCAAACGTTACCAATCAACATGGTGAATCAGGGTGATTTACCAAACTCTGAGATTTCATTTTCTTTATATTCACCAAAAATGACTACATTCAGTAAGTCATGTGTTATCATACCCTCTAACCAAATACTAACAAACAAAAAGTTGTCTTCATTTACATTTTCGAATTCGGTTTTCATTTTGCGTTAAATTACGTCTACTTCTTCTTCAACACCAACAAAAAACCTTTGTCGGTTGTTAGTTTCAGTGCCTAATTGTAAGCTCAGCCCTAAGATGAAGAATGCCATCGATGAAGTAAACACTATCCTCCCCGATAAACGAAGTCCACGGAATCGCGAACAAGTTTCGGTACCCCACCGCCTTTCCCCCCGTAAATGTGTAATTCCCTTTATACTTGCTAACGTACTCTTCCGTTGGCTTTGACCTCGCTGCAAACTCGTAGTCCACCGCAAAAGACACCGACCCTTTCTCCTGCATTCCCAAGAAAAGCCCGAAACAGTGAAACGAGCTTTGTTGATCCATGTTGCAATGTGCCGACAAGAAAAACCCTTGCCCGCCCAAATGGAACGCCTGAGAATAGACCCTTCCGGAAGGAAACAATCTTGCACACTCGTCACGCTTCAAATCTAAGTACACCACGCATTGTGGGCGTGGCAATTCGAACTCGACCACCTTCACGGGCCGATACTTGTATGCCCGCTCCACGAACCGGCGGTTCAGGTTAGGGTTTTCGTCACCGGCAAGGGTTCGCTGCCTGTGAGGGGCCTCGGCCTTGAAGAAGAGTGCTTCGACTACCACCTTTTGTGCAAAGTCGGGATCAAAGTCAGGGCAAGTCATGACCTTCCGGAGCTTTCTACATGTCATGTAAGGGAAGCGGATAAACTGCGAAAGACGGTTCCCGAGAATTTCACGTCGGTGCTCTATGATAGGGTACTGAAACCTGGCATACTTGAGAACGAAGTCGTAAACCGCATCTTCGGATGCCACCTGGAGATCGTTGCTAGCCAAAATTGCCTCCACCCCGGCAATAGGCAAGTTAAGAACCTCTCCTTGATATCTGCCAATTGTCAAAACAGCTGAAGGACAAGTAGAAAATAGAAATGGCAGTAGAAAACAGAAGTAAGAATGTTAGCTTCAGATTCAATATGCGATATAGGGGTTGGAGTCGGTTAAACAGAATTTGGACCAATTTGTCATCATCCCTATGAATCACAAATCCATTTTTCATACCATCTATGGATGCATTAGCAAACATATTCATCAGAATAATCGATTATAATGAAATCCTAAGGTAGAAAATAGAGCACATACACATAGTTCCAATCAAATTCAAGGATGAAAAAGAAAACAGAAAATGCACCTAATGATATGTTTCTTATAAACTATAAATATATTATAAATGATGCTTAACAATAAGATTTCACCTGACTAATTATCATTAAAATTTTAGACATATCATATAAGTGAAGGGTATTTTAGATTTTCACTAACAATTGAACATTTTGGTTAAGTTATGAGTTCGATAAAACATTCACATTTATTTTGGGATGGAAGGAGCCGTAAACAAAAGAATCTTACTTGGTTATGTCTTTGTAGCGAATAGCCAGGAACTGCTTTGCAGCATCAGTCAATGGCTGAACTGCTTCAGCCATTAGAACACTGGAAGGAAGTTCCAGATAAAGTAGTGCAGATTCAGGTGTCATGGGCAAATTTCTCAACAAACGGCTGCAATACCTCATGCATGAAGCAACCTCAAACTTGTCCGCAGCCATCAGCACATCAAGCAGAGCAGGAGCAGCAGTCACTGTCAAAGAATTGCTGTACATAAAGTTCAGAAGTTCCATGAGGGCAGCTTCCTCTGTTCCAAAAGCAAAAGCAAAAGAAGAATAGATGTTCAATGAATTGTTAAACAAAAATAAAGAGTAAAAACTTGTTATCAATAAGTAATGGACTATAATTCATGTAAAAGCAAACAAGCCACACGGGAAAAAAAACAAAAAAAAACTCAGATATGATCAACATACCAGAGGCATTGATCCGCAAGTTTACATAACGCTGTTCTGACTCCCTCATCCCATTTGAAAAGAGCTGCATGAAGATAGACCAGGAAATAGAATATAAGCAACTGATGAATCCCAGAGCCATAAAAAATGCAGCCACTTGAAAATTGACATCACCTTGTAGAAAAATGGACTTCTTGCAGCTAAAATTGGAGAGCTAATATGTAAGGTTTTAACCCTCAAAACTTTTGAGCACTCCATACTCCAGTTTGAATCATTGTCATTTGCACCTTCATCTGATAAAACAGAAGTGCAAACACAGATAAAAAGCTCAATATCAGTTTCAAATCGGTAGGAGGATAAAAATTCAAACTAAAGAATATGCTATCAGTTGACCACTTGGTTCGAGAGACAAGCTAGACACCCAGCAGAAAAGGAAAGTTAAATTTCTCGATAGAAACAAATTAATAGTTTACCACAGTAAATAATTCGTATTTATAACAAGATAACTATTTGACCCCTATTTCTGAGAACTCTACGTGTTAATTCACAAGCATTTAACTTTACAAACAGCTTGTTCAGATACTTTATTGTTCTACAAAGGTTGCAATCCATACTTCTCTTAGGACCCAAGTGCCAGGTGTCCAATATGTGGCAAAGAGACAGGGTAGAAGGTTCAGCAAGTGTCTTATAGGGAGAACTGTTGGATGTTTTTATCCGAGTCCAACCCCTCTCCCACACAGCCCCTGAACTTCCGGAACGCATGTCCAACTTGGCTTTGACACTTCAACGTACTTTGTTTTAACTTTTCTGGGCCAGAGCACACAGATAAAAAGTGGGCAGTTATGAGATTGGGAGAAGCAGAGAAAGGGAGATAGGACATGCATTTCTTATTACAATCTTCAATATATCGACCAATATTGATCAAACATGAAGTAGGGAATATAGGGACATAAGACAGTGCGCTATCTTTCAAGTATTCATCAGATCTTAATCTCTTCTTCGACATGTTTCACTGTGTCAGTCTCCATTCTTGAATCTTCAAATTTCTTCCTCTGTTTCTTTATATTGCATCTACATAGTATGGCAGGTATCTTGTTATGTTCTAGGGCCACATACAAGGGAATTGCATCTAACATCCCTTAATTAATTCATTTTAACAAAGCCCCCCCCCCCCCCAGTTTTCCCCAAGAAATTGCAGAATTATGCAAAACTTATGGAACAAAGATATTCAACTTATAGCAAACAAAATTTGTACACATAATAACAATACCGGTGCCAAAATCTGAAAATATCCAGGTATGTTGTGTCAACGTATCATTCTATGTTGTAGTATCATGTGCAAATGGTACTTGGACCACAAGCAAGATCATCGTATCAAGGGGTCATTAATGTATATTGCGTTTTAAACATCAATTTCATGTACTATGTAAAAGTGATGGAACACGTATTTATAGGAATACTAGACTTGTATAAAATGACAATCAGCAAATTAATAAAAAATTCCATGAAGGAGGGTGGGTTGGTAATTAGACAGGAAAGCTTTCCATGCCAAACATGCAGGGTAAACATTTAATTTGAGGATACCAAGTATCAATAGCATTATCCACGATGATCCAAAATGAGACCAAGTGATTCATGCCTGATGGTGCCTCTTCAATCATTGCTGCAGGTTCTTCGTCCTGATTTTCAGTGTCCACACCATCATCAATATGATCAGGCTGATTTAGAATTTGTTCTTCTTGACACCCAGCAGCAATGTCTACAGCTGTGAAAGCTACAAATATATCATTGATGTCAATGGAAACAGGTGTGCGCATAAAAAAAAAAGATCATGCATGTTGTCATGCACACTGTCGAAGAATGCAGAGCACTCATCTAGAAAAAAGTCATGCTATTCAAGACACTATATCACATATCTCCATAAGATAATAACACAATATAAGAAAGATGTGTCATAATAATACAAATGAGCTTGGCAACTCGGAAGAGTTAAAATCAGCTTCATCATAATAACATTATGAACATCACCAATAATACTGTAGCCCACAATGTTTTTTGTGTGCTTTCAGGGAAGCTGAGAGAGATAGAAAGAGTAATAATCAGATCTTGTCTTAGGCCTTTTAGACCAAGTGGATCAAATTGCATCATATGCTCAAATGAAATTAATAGAAGAATCAAGAGATGGCAGAATTGAAGATATTAAACAAAAGACCTTTCAAATGTATAAGTTAATATCATGTTGCATGCAAGAATTTAAGGATTGTTCTGATCGTTAAATTGACAAAAGACGGAGTATTATGCAGCCACTGTAGATATAGGCAATGACGGACTAAGATGACCAATGCAATGGTTGTTATGTTGTTTGCGGCAATTTGCTGTCCCAAACTGTCGCCACTTAGCACAGTGTCCACTCCCCTTGGAGCATATCTTAGGGACTCATCCCAGAACCAAATCTAGCCGAATAAAGAAATTTAAATAACGAAAACTCACCTTTTGTGTGGTAAAATAATAATGAAACCCAAATTGAAGATCTACACAGGAGATGATCGAATTATACTTACTTGTCATATGTATGGTTTTAAAAAGCGTGTGAGGCACGCCTCAGGCAAGGCGGCCCAAAATCGCACCTGAGGTGGTGCCTCTCGATCCCTAGACGAGACGTACACCTTGGTTGTCTGAGATGGTGACCAGGCAGTGGAGAGGCGTACTCCTCACTAAGAAGCTAAGTTATTAGAAAAATAACTGAAACCTTTTCGGTTTCTTTTTCGAGAACCTTGTTCTTCTTTGGTTCTCCTAAGCCCTATCTGCTACTCGTCTGTTGTCCTTCGTGAGTTCCAGTTTTCTCCCGTTTTCTTCTTTGATTCTTCTCCGGTTCACCATAATGATAGTATTATGTACATGCATATATTGGATAGACTTTTTTTATATTCAGTCTCTACTACGGGCCACTGTCACATTTCTACTCCCACTTTCTTGATATGTTAAATTTTTTTCTTTATGAGCTGTGAGCATATTAACATATACATACATATATATATATATATATTATTCTTAATAGATCAATATTTTTTTCTTTGTTACTATATCCATATTTCGTGATTGAAAAAAGTACTGTAGATACTTTTAGTTACTTAGTATGATATATATATTTTGTGTCTAGTACTCAAGTGTGTGTATATACTGCATATACTTTCTGTGAATAAGCAGTGGAATTCAGATTGGTATAAATATGTTGTGTAGTATATATATTGGTATATATATTTCCCGCCTTGAGGCTTACGCCTCGCCTCATTGAGAGAAAATGCCTCGAGGCTCGATTCCGCTTTTTAAAACCTTGGTCAGTTGGTCATATGAGCTAAATGGTTACTGTTCTCATCCCAATTGATTTTCTTCATTAATTTTTCATTGTTCTCTTCTCTTTTCTTTTGTTTCCAGTTGCTCCTCTCTCTCTTCTCTCTTTTTTACTTAGTGGAGGAATAATAATTCTATGTCTATACTTGTTAGTTTTTTTTTGCCTTTCCAACTTGAAATTACCAAAACCAGAGCAACATACAGCTTTTATGCATGACGTTCAAGTCATTAATGCAGAGTCATTCTTATTTGGAAAATTTGAGCCTTAAAATTCCATTTTGACAGCATAACAGTTTCATCTGTCAGTTCGGAACATGTGGTGTCTTCTTCTATGTGACACTACACATTTATTATTTTTCTATTTAGTGGTTATCTGGATATGGTACTTGTTATGTTAGTGAACTTCCTTCATGATAATGACACTAACATTTTAAATTCTACAATTGTATACTCCACTGTTACCTTTGTTATGTGTCGTGACACTTGTTAGCACGTTTATTGTGTGAAACAATTTATCTTGATAGTTGAAGGCCACTATATTTGTTTTAATTTTATTGTACAAATTGTTTAATGTAAACAAGTAATTAGCACAATGTGAACACCTTGTAGCTGTATGGACAAATTGGGGGATGCCATGTAGCCATGGCGTCCTTGAAGCTGGCTACCGCAATGACTCGTTGTGTCAACTAAGCTGGATGCTGGAATGGAGTGTTGAAACAGGAGTCTAGTTACTGGGAACTTAAGAGCAAAATTCTACAAGAGCCGTGACATAAGAAGAAGCTTATATTAAAGTTCTTCACAAATCAAATGTGTATATATAGAAGAAGAGTACTGGTGTGATTTACATTAATTGCCTTCTTAATAGATCAATCCAAGACTTCAATCGCTCTTTGGCCAACGTTCTTACATTCAGTTCTACACTAGCAGTATAATTCTGAGAGAAAGAACCATTGAATCATGTCGCCCAAAGCACTTTTCTGCACCAGCTGAGCACCATTATACAACAATATAGTTGTATTCTCAACCGGTAAACTAAAACAACATAAAAGGCAATAATGCTTCCCAAAGTATTTATGGACAATATGAAGATCAAGATCCTCTAATTCGAAAAAGTTATGTGTACTACTATATTAACTTGCAATAAATATAGAAAATTTGTTTACGTGAATGAAAATTTGCCTATGTGGACGCTCGACAAGTAAACTGATGTGTTTGATCCGTCCCCTACTTATAAGCTTGGGATTATTAAACCAGCCAGAAACATACATAAACCAATTTTATTTTCGGGCGGATCAGTAGACCTAACCTAACATTTAATTACCCACCTGTAAAACTTTTGTCATAACAAACCCCCATGTTAAATTACTCGCAAACACAACAATCAATTGTGCTTGATCAATTTAACGTCATGAAACTTATCTTCCTAATGAGTAAAACAGATAGGCAGGCATAGGCTGGCGTGAAAGAAAACGCTTCTCGAGTTCTAGCCCTTATCAAATTTCTCCAAATTCATAACCAATTTTCCGTAGCAATAAGAAACAATATAAATGCATGTGTATTACTCCAAGATTTCGAGAAAAAAAAAATCAGCAACAAAATAGACAACTCACGGTTTTCTCTTTTAACATCTTCCCTGCGTCGCTTCCGATCCCTACACCAATCGGCTAAGCTCAAATAACCCTCTCCATCAGGTCTAGCCTCAAGCGGATCCGAAACGATCTCGATGCGAAGAACACGATCAGAGAAATTGCTATCGTTGAAGGCAAAACCAAAATCTCCATCGGCGCGACCGGGTTCAGCCGAATAGTTGGAGTCCATGACCGCCGTCCTAGGATCAAACAGATCTAAACTAGAATCTCTCATTATATGTATTGATCAGAAAAGAAAAGTTGAAAAACCCTAATTCCTTATCCCAGGAAGGGGATGAATAACGTACGCACGGGAACGGGAGAGGGTCTTGACAGATATACTTTGCCTGTACGAAACAAGACAAATCTTGTATTTAATATAATAAAATAATAATAATAATAATAATATATACCAGCAGGCTTTTCTTTTAAACATTACAAATTTACCATATACGTTTCCTTCAAAAAAAAAAAAAAAATTCACCGTATATGTAAACAAAATATCATGGGGATGGCAGTTGTGATGACAACAATAATGACATGGTGGTCTGTGAGGTTGGGGTGGTAGTTGTGATGAATGATAGTAGTGACATGGTGGTCAGTGACTCAGTGAGGTAGATGAGAGGTGGTAGTTGTGATGACGACGGTGGTGACGCGGTCATCGGGTGACAAAGGTAATGGCATGGTGGTCATGTGGGTTGGGGTAGGTGGGTGACGGTTGTGATGATGATAGTGAATGGTGTGACAGTGAGTAGTAACATGGTCGTGGTGGGGTAGGAGTGGGCGGTATTGGTTAAATTAGATGCAAAGAAATGGAATTCAATTCATTCACTTATGTCAGATGAATTCATTAGTGGAATTCAAACGAATCCCTCCATTTCAAGATGTGAATCAAACAAATGAATTAGAATTTGGTCAAAGGAATATATTATATTTCAGTTCACTTAAAATACTTTGAGTTATATAAACCGAACAACGCCTAGCTTTTTATCTTTTTCTTTTATTCTTTTTTCCCCACAATTTTCTCTTACATTTCAACCCATAACAGAGTTACTTAAGATGAATAGATCAGATTTTTTTAAAACCTCCAAAAGATTTTTAACATTATTAGTAAGTGTTTAGTTTAAAGACGAAACTCTAAAAGTGATTGGTGATGTTTGATGCCTTTTAAGTTTTGTATCGAACGTAATCGATTTACATTAAGAATAATTAATCGATAGTAATTCGATGCATGTGTTTTAGCCTTTTAGGACTCATAACTTTTGAAATGAATAACATAAAACAGGTATAGGGGAAATGAATAACATAAAATGGTTTGAAGGATTTGGATTTCATGGAAGGATTTTGAATTGGAGGAATTTGGAATCTTTGGTGTGTTTGGTTTGATGGATTTGGAATGGAATCGAATTCCAATTTTTTATCAATAATTTATAATAACAAATTATAAAAATAATCAAGTTACTTTTTTATTAATGAACTATTAGAAAATAAATGTTTTTAACATATTTTAAAACATTATTATACACAAATCCTACAAAATCCCGTGAAATCCCAACCACTTTCGAAAGATTTCAAAATCCTATGTTTGAGGGATTTCAATAGAATTTTAGGATTTCAAATTCAGACAATCCTGCATATCAAACACCAGATTGGAATGGATTTAAAATCCAAAAATCCCCCAAATTTCATTCTACTCCTACAAATCAAACAGACCTTAAGAGTCCGTTTGATTTGCAAGATTGTTTTTGAAGGATTTGGATTGGAATGAATTTGAAATCCAAATCCTCCCAAATCCATTACATTCCTGCAAACCAAATGATACCTAAGGGGGTGTTTGGTTCACATAATGGAATTTGATGGAATTGAAATCCATCAAAATAATTTGACTTTGAAGAAATTGGAATAGAATTTGACCACGTGTGTTGGTTGGTAGGAATTGAAATGAAATCTCTCAAACGAATTAGAACAATTGTCCTTGTTTGGACTATAGCACCCATCGCCCCACCCTACCAACCACAATGTCACTGTTGTCGTCGTCACAGTTATCACCCCGCCCCACCTCTACCCAAACCCTGCCACTACCCACCCTCATCACTCATGCTCCACCCCTACTCCATAGGTGTTGGGGACAGGTAGGGTAGGGCAAGGCTGTGGGGGACAGTAGGGGGGCAGGGTGGTAGTTGTGACGACTACAATGGTAGGATGGTGGTTAGTGGTGGATTGAAGTAGGGTAAGTAGTGACATGGTGGTTAGTAGTGGGTTGGGATAGGGTGATATGGGGTGAGTGGCAATTGTAACGACGACAATAATGGTGTGGTGGTGGGGGTTAGGTTGTAGGGACGTGAAAGTAACGGTAGTAGCATGGTCGTAGTAGGGATGTGCACTGACCGGGGGTGGGTGGGTGTGATGACAAGTTGACAAAAGTAGTGGTTAGTGGTGGGGTAGGGTGAGTGTCAACGACAGTAGTGGTGTGGTGGGAGGGGGGGGGTTAGGGGTGGGGCATGACGAACAATAGTAGGATGGTCGTGGTGGGTGGCAGTGGAATTCAGTTACTTCTGTTATGTAAAGGAATGATGAATTCATTAATTTATAGAATTCAGTGAAATTTGAAGGATATCCAAAATCCTTACTTTTATTTGATTAATACATGCATTATTTATCTTTTATGTTGTGTTCATTAATAATTATATCGATATCCAAAATTGCATAGAATATACGACATTAAATTATTCAAACAAGAATAGTATTTATCATGTTTTAACCGTCCATAAGAAAATAATGATCATAAGATTAATATCGTATTAGAATACAATCCGTCACCATCCTTATTTAGAAAATAGGCATCACTGTATGTAAATCACTTTTAAGAGCTTGTCATCACAAACCCTTTAACGATATTGTTTAAAATATTGTTTATCGCATCCATATGATGCGATGAGTTCGAGTTCTCACACCGGTGTGTCGTGAGGAAATGGGTTGTCTCACTCATGTGATGCGAGAAAATTATATAACAATCTGTATGATGCGACAAGTTTACTCAGAATGTGTTTATCAAGTTATTTGGCTATTTCGATGTGATAGATGAGATTCGTTATATCAAAATGATGTATATTTGTTATTTTTACAAATATGAGTTCGTAAATGTGATTTGATGATTATTCACCCTATAATATAATCAAAGGGATTTCTCGTTAGATCTCAAGGTCTAACCCTCATTTTGTATTTTGAAAATGTGCATTAGAGGTCGTGCTCAATCAGATGATAAGGGGAATGGAAAATTGTAAAGTGTTATAAATATGCTTGCATGGATTTTAGGCTAGCATATTTTCCTTTCGTATCTGAGTACTTGTTATGTATTCAAGTGTTGTATAGAGATTTTGTGGAAAATTTTGGTAACTACTTTGTAATATAGCTTTTGTAATTAGTGGGACGAGTTGTGTAAATTATATTTCATGATATACATAAATATATGTTTATATGTAAATGTGATATTGGAGTGCTACAAGTTTGGTATCAGAGCCAGAATTTAAGGGATTTAGGTATCTAACATGATACCTAGACGTAAACTGTATTATTTGCATATTAAGGGTCCATGACGTATGTAGAACTATTCATTATAATATCTTTTAAGATAGAAGTCTAAGACATTTCAAGAATGAATTCAGTTTGTGTGTTTCATTGTGCTTTCAAAATTATATGAACAAATATGACCATGGTGAAAGACCAAAGTGAAGTCATATTATATAGGCATGAAAAGGGGTCGAGGACCTTAATTTCCATCCCTGTTCCCGGCCCTCATCTATGTCCCTGTCCCTGTCCCCGTCCCCATCCTCACCGAGAAATATGATCACATCCATATCCCCAACAGAGAACGGGGAGCCCCAATGGGGAAATGAATATATTTTTTTGGTTTATGGACGCTATTTTAAATCAAATACGTGAAACACCACACATTTATCAAAAAAATAACAATTTTAAATTCTAAACCTAGTTAGAAAATAATAAATTATTAATTATCAATTTAGTTTGACATAAATGATATATATTTAATTTATTAATTAATGTATACAGCGGGTACGGGGCAGGGAGGGAAGTGCTGATACCCACCCCCATCCCCGATTCGAGACAAACATGAATCCACGTCTCTGTCCTCATCCTCGGTTTAGCAGGAAATCCCCGTCCCTTATCGGGGCAGGTGGACCGGGTTTCTTGGCGGGTCGAGGTTCATTCTCATGCCTATCATTATACTTAACCAACAATGATGATGCGTGCGATTTTTTTTATGATGGTCAGTAGTGGATCCAGAAGTTTGGATGACTGGGGGCCCTAGGATATAAAAGAAATCCCAAATCGAATAACTCATCCAAACCAAAAGGTTTCGGGTTATTCGATTTGTGGGTTAAATGTTTCATTTAACCATACAAGGTAAATTACGGTTTCGATTTTTTTTACCATATTGGTTAACCGAATAACAAAGTGTAATATTATTTAATTTATATAATTTTCTTCTAGATGAATTGCTTTCAACATATATAAAACTAAAAGAGCACAAAATTGAGATATATTTAACAAAATCATCAACCAACATTTATCATTGTAGCTTGATTGCAGTAACTAACGGTAACAATATACAGGGAGAACGACTGTCAAACAAAAGAGTGGAGGTTTCATTAAAATGGACTAGGGCATTGGGGAACTGTAAAAAATGACCGGAAGAACTAAGCACATAAGATTAAAAAAGCAAAATTTCACCTACAAATTTTAAAAGATTTACATTTGAGTGGGGCCTTTCCCTAAACTTTTGTGAAGGTGAGTTCGCCACTGATTATGGCGTAGGTTATGAACGAAAACTTGTAGGTATGCGTCTTTTGTGAAAAACAAAATTAAGGCATGTGTATGCATGGTGCGTGAATAAATATATGTCCATATGTTCATTTGAGAAGTGGTAAGTAGGGAGATGATCCTAGCCATTTATTTGATCAAGATTTGCGGCTTTGACTGTGAAGCATGAGATAATTCATCGCATGATATATGAAAGATAGATGAGTAGTTTCGTAACTTTTATAAATAGGCAGCAAAACAAGTGCATATGCAAATCCGTGTGATTCACATATGAACAATTTAACTGTTTCACATGTGAACCTTTGTGATTTATATATGAACTAATTATCTGATTCACATATGAACCCATGCGGTTCACATATGAACAGTGGGTTTAAATATGCACTTGTTTGTCGCCTATTTGTACAAGTTACGAAACCACCCCTCTATTTTTCGTT